GATACTGTACCTATTATTGGTAAATAAATTTAATATTAAACAAAAAAATATTTATTTTTTCTCGTATTCATAGGAATTTATTTAACTATTGTTATGAGTTTAACAGTAAGTAATTGTATAAAAATAAAAGTCTATCAAACAAATATATTTTTTCTTTCATTAGTCTATATCAGTAATTATGGCTGTTATCGTCGCCAATCTTTATCAACAAGCAACAATGTGTACAACTGAAAAACATCGTGCACCACGTTGGTTAACAAAATTAGCACTTACATATCTACCACCAATTCTTCGTATGCAAGATAAAGTCAAAACTGTGCTTAGTCAAAAAGTAAGCACGCTATTTTTTTTTATAAAAAAAAAGGAAGAAAATCATATAAAATAAATATCGTCTATCAGAATTTTTTTTACCTATCTAAACGAAAGAGAACGGAAGTGCTTACTCAAGCGTAAAGTCATGGATGATTGAAAGACATATATATTACGATTGTTTTGATCGTTTTCTGATTATTTTTTAAAAAAAATACGAAGTGTACCTGTCTAGCAGCTAAAAATGCACGCAAATATGAAAATAACTCGAAATTCCTCATGGGAAAATTGGGGTTTACATGGTTTTATATTTGGATTAATACTTTCATTTGTTGGTATATTAACACAAATTCTTGAATTTCCTCGTGTATATAATGGTGCAATAAATGTTGATGTAACTACTAATGTGACTGGTGATCTTTATACAATATCAAATTATTATCAACATTTTTGGCCATGGACATATCCAGCTAGTCTTTTTGGTCTTTTTACATTTTTAACAGGTGTTATTGGTGTATTAGCTGGTATAAGACGAACATATAGTTCGATTTATGGTCTATTTACAATGAGTGTTGTATCAGCATTATTTGCTATTTATTTAATTGTTTATTTTTCATTTATTATTTCATTTTATCGAACACTTCATATGGATAGTGCAAAGAATCGTACACAACCTGAAACAGTTTCATATGCACTTGCTAGTACACAATTAACAGTTGCAATATTAAATGTTATAACTAGTATATTATCAGCTATTTTTGCTGGTCGAGCTATTGCACTTTGTGTAAACAAAGGTGTTAAATCTGATGATGTTTATATGAATATGGCAACACCAGGACCTCAAAGACCTGTTTATCGCATTTCATAAATCTATATTTTTTATTAAATATTATATTTAAATAAACATACTATCGATTTATATTGATAATTGAAAGATCTTAAAAATTTCAAGATAGATTATTTTGTTCATCATTAGAAAATAATTCTTTTATTTAGGAAGACTCAACCGCATCACATGGTCTTTCTTGTGAACCAACTCCATTACCATTGGCAACCAATAAAAATGAAGTTGATGTTAATTATGAAAATATGATTGAGAATTTACTTTTACAACAAGTTTTATTATATACGCATGATCATCAAAATCCATCACATTATTCTCGTGTACATCATACACGTTCAACAACAACAGCAACAAGTTCATTATTAATACGACAACAAACAAGATATCCATATAATCATAATGATGAACATTTAGTATTAACTTCATCAAAACAGAGAAATAATCATGATGAAGAAGCAACAATATGTGTTGTAGAATCTAATCAAGAAACTTCAAGTAGTTTAATTGAAAATATTCTTTATCATTATAATCAACGTAATGATCCATCTACACGTTTTGATCAAAATTTATTAGATTTACTTGTTAAAAGAAATCGTGACAAACAAAAATCATCA